CCTACCCCCCCCCCTCACGTCGTCACCTCTTCTTAAACATCATTTGTCCTTTCTCCGACTCTAGTTATTACCACCGTTTAATAATGTCTAAAACTAGCCCAGCCCTGTATCCAACCTTATTGAAATCTTTTAAAATTGAAAAAAAGGTTTTGGGTGGTAAAACTAGCCTATATTAGAAAATATATTATTTATTTATTATTATTTATTTATGATTTATTTATTATTAAGGTTAATTATTTTAGATTTTAGATTGTATAAAGGTTATAAGAAATTTTTTACTCCTTTAGTTTTACCCCTCTGTTGCTCTGAATGAATGTCACAAAAGTATTTTATTTTGGATATCCTTGAAACTCTGATTTGATTTGGTTCGATTTGATACCATTAAAAATTGTTCTGACAATTCAGAAATGACCTCAAAAAGATTTAACTGACAAGTTATAGAAGCATATGCGTAAGGTATGGACCAAAAAATCTCTGATAACAATTTCCTGTTAAATTTTCAACTTTTATTGCTCAGCCAAACTATGAAACTAGGGAATAAATGCCCTTTCATAATAGAGGCACTATAATGATGTCTTTAATGTCGAGCTAAACTACAATATCTTCAAAGACCAGAGAGGTACGAACATTTCGGTTAATTATTTTGTATGTAGGATTTCAGTCGACCTAACAAACCAAGCATCAAAATGCAAGGTTGCCAAAGTATTTTACAAAAAAGACCTTATTAAAAAAATTACAGCGCAATCTTAAAATGAATGGCATCTTATGATGATCAACAGCTTTCATTTTCTTTTATTCTAATGTTTCGGTTTAGACATTCTTGGAGATCAGCTCTGTCTTTGTCATTGATAATTGTTTGCCCTAACTTTGTATCATCAGCGAATTTTTTGATTAGCTTGATCAGGGTAGCAGCTCCATCTATATCATTAATGAATATTAAGAAGGCTAGTGGTCCTAGAACTAAAGAGTTAATCGGGCATAACCCTTTTTTAAATATAGGGTCACTAGAAATTACAACAATAGTCACTAGAACAAGTTTTAAAACCCGTATATTTATTATGTATCTAAGAAGTCCCTATTAATTCTTATTCGTTTTCAGGTTGTTAGTTCGTCTAGTTATTGAACCTAAAGTTAACGTCAGAATTATTGTCATTGTTATCTAGACTTAAATGGCATTTGGCGATCTTAGTTCTAATATTGGTCAAATATATAATAGTCCTTAAGTCGTGACGTAAAAAGTTTTTTTCGAAAAACAGGAACACCTCAAAAAAAAGAGAACACCTCGACTGAATGAATGAAGTTATTTAAAAAATAAAAAATCAAAACGCCTCAAAAAAATGAAAAACATCTGATTTTAATGATCAATTTAAATTATTTTTTATTTGTTACGGATTCCATAGAACATTTCTGTGGTAAGGCGTTTCCATGTTACCGTTAAAACAGGTGTATTCGTCTGACTGTTGTCTATTGAACTATAGAGAAAGTTTATTTTTGTGTTTTAAAAAGTTGTAAATGATTAATCAACGGTGGTAGGCGATCATGGCAGAATAATGAAAACTACTACTTATTTCAGTTTTAATTGTTAAAAAGCTCTTTTCGAATTACAAGTTTACAAGGAATTATAGAGAAGCTTTTTTAATCGACAGCTGATCTTTAATTCCATGTATTTGTGTATCCATGCTGTTTAAAAGCTTGATATAAATCGAAACTGAAATCGGAAGTCTTTTTCATTATATTCATCTAATCACCTACCACCGTATATTTTTTTTAGGATTCTCCGTTAAACAAAGATGGACTATAAAGTTGTGTTATCTGGATTGAGTGCGAACTAATGAGCTAAACGATTGGCTTTTCTTGTAAAATATCAATCATTGTTCGATTCTAGCAAGTACTTTACCTTGCCCTCACATAAATTATCATTAGCATTATCAGATCAGGATTTATTCTTATATTAAATGTTGAAATGATTTCTGTGATAAAAATATTGATGCCAATAGTTATGATCGGAAAAGGCATTACTCACTATTTTTTATAGATAAAAATGTCGAATAAAATGAGGAAGACAACCGCCAAAATAGTTCATTTTAAAGGTAAATATATGCGTGTACCCCTTCTATCTATAAATTTGACTTGTCTGTCTGTTTGTCTGTCTGTCTGTCTGTCTGTCTGTCTGTTTGTATCCAATAAACGTCAAAACGGCTGAACCGATCGGGCCCAAATTTTTTGTGGGACATACCCCCCCCCCGTTTTAAAGCCTGTATTCCAATACTAGAATTAAATACTTTAGGGCTCAAAAATTAAGTAATGGCACACTATTTTTGGTTTCAAAAAAGATCATCTCAAGACTTTTGGCTGGACTGTATTTCGTTATTTAGGTGGATTACGAACAACTATTCCTGCTCAGTTAGCGATGCCGGGGCCTCCGTTAGGAACCCAACTGGGTCAGCTTGGTGCTAACATTGCAAACTTTGTCAAGGATTTTAATCTTAAAACCTCAATTTTCAGGTGAAAATTTTGAGCCTCCGTCCTTTTTTATGTTAAAAGTATATTAGTATTCATTAGTTGTTCTTTTTAAAGGAGACGTTGCATTTTTGACATTTTTTAATATCTCAATAAATAATGGTGTTAGCCGGTCATAGATGCAACGCCTCATTTTATAAAAATTAAGATTGCATTCTAATTAAGTTTACTTGTCCAATACTATATGATATATTAGAGAAGGGGTACCGTTGCCAACCCGAACTACAATAAACGCAGATAGATCTTACAATTTAACAATTCACCACCCTACCTCGACATTTCTACTAAAACAGGTACCCACTACCCGTTCTACAATGTTTTGCCTGTATTGTATTATGATGCAATATTTTCTTTATATTAGGCTGCTGGTGTGTCACGGGGGGCGATGGAACACAGAAAAGAAATTGTTGGTTATCTCACAAGAAAACATATTTATGAAATTGCAGTTATTAAAAGCCAGGTGACCTTTTTGTCATAACTTGGCAAGATTAAGTAAGTAAAGTAAAGTAAAAAATTATTTATTTATGAAGTAAAACAAAAACATACAAAATTAAGTGTTTCAGGAGAAAATATTTAAACATCTCTAAAAGTAGAAGTTGTGGGAATATTTCCCCCCAATTCTAAAAAAATATAAAAATATAAATAAGAGGAAAAGGAAAGGATTAGGAAAGTTACATATTTATTGTTTACACTATATTTAATATAAATGCTATGCCGAGTTTCAAACAGCAATATTTTATGATAAATTTCAGAAAAAATGCAGATTCTACACACAAATGATTTGACACAATTGAAGTATTGATTATTTTTCTCCAAAATTATATGTATTTTAATTTTTATGGTGGTTTTAGAACCAATGCAATTTCATTTTTAAGTTTGAATTCTCTTTTTTTAAATCATTTGCTGTATACTCAATAGTAAATATCCATCAAGACTTAACCCGAATTTGTTTTTTAACAGTGAAACCCTTAATAACGAATACATCGAAAGAATTCATCAAATGGCGTATTCTTCACTTTCTGATAATGGAATGTTGCAGATATTTAGTTTTTCTCATTAAATGATTATATGGAACTATTTAAAAATGTCCCCGCACATTCATGTCTATTTATTTATTTTCGCAAATACTGAAATTTGCGTAATATAGTATAAAACTCATTGAAAAATTGTCAAGACGACATTTGATGAATTCTTCCGATGTATTCGTTATTAAGGGTTTCACGGTATAATGTCTGAAGTATCTGTTATCTCTAATATTTAAATTTCCTCTGGTTTCAGTGATACTAAAAAGAGAATGAAGTGCTCAGCATATATAAAATCTTCAAAAGATGGATTGTTTGTGTTTCAGGACCCTCCACTGCAAATGGTTGATCTAAAAGATATTTGCAATGATCTTATTGATACAGCTTTTACCATAGGAATACATGTAAGTTTTTTTATTTACTGCCTGTGCCAAAAAAAAGGACTCAATTTTATGTTTATTTCTGCTGAGGATATTTACCTTCACTTTTATCCCAAATTTATTCTATGAAGGTTTTTTATAGTTACAAAAGTTTCTTAAAGAACTTAAAAAAAATTCGGTACTTTTCTAGTTGATACATATAAGAATCTTTGGCTCTACGAAATTACAAGTCTGAATTACAAGTAAGAATAAAACGAGTAGGAAAAGACGATAACAAATGTTTAAAGACCGACAGGGGTTTCCTTCAAAAACATCACGCACCAGACGAAGATCGCATAAAAATCCTAGCCCATTTCTTGCAAGTTTTTTAAGTTGGTGATTTTTAAAAATATGTTTAGAAATACAAGTAATTAAACGCTTTTGACCAAAATGAATCGAGTATTTGAAGTAAACTCGTAAAATATTATCTTAAAAAAGGTAATTCTTGCAAAAATTGTGTGGGATGGAGAAATAAAGTGAACAACCTTGGTATAAAAAAAATTTGCGGTTTTTGCTTAAGATATTTAAATTTTAATTTCTAAAGCTTTGTGTATTTTATTTTTCCTATTTATTACCTTAGGTTGTCGACGAATTAAACCCTGCTGAGTATCAGAAGTTTTTGGAGAACAGAAAGCTTGTGATTGCTGAGCAGCTAGATGAGATTAAAGCTGCCAAAGAAGCAAAATTACTCAGAACTGCTTAGTCTAGTCTTTATTGAGACTTTGGCTTACTTTGTCAATTAATGATGTTTATTGTTTCAGAGTATATTCCTGCAAAATGTCTAATTGGTTGTAGGTATGGATGATGTTACTGAGCTTGAAAAGTTCAGAGTACCAAGTACTCCGCCACGAGTATATTATTTGCCAAACTTTATAACTCATAATGAGGAAATCTATCTTCTTGGCGAAATAAAGAAAACACCAGGTTGGTGAACATTCATGTTTTCAGTACAATAGTGTAAAATGTAGTTAAAGCTAAAAACAGGGTGATTTTGAACCCTTTTTCGACGAGATTTTTTTACAAAAATTGCACGAATGAATATAAAGTTTATTCAAGTCTGGTTCAATTTAATTTAAACATTATATAATACATAACATAATTACAATTTAAACTTGATTAAAATTTTATGAACATATACATACTTTTACTGCATATCTCGGAGTTGTTTAGCTTGAGCCAATCTTCCACGCAGTCAGAGAACAGCTTGGGCTTCACTCCTGTCCTGGGACCATATCCTTGATTATGGGGTTTCCTTTTGTCATGGTTATTAGACGACTGATGTACATTTTGTACATTTGTATAGTTTACAGGTGTGACAAGCTCCAAACGTATTGTACAAGTTCCGTTACCAGTTTTTTTTTTTTGGGGGGGGGGGGTGTCGAGTTCTGCTAATTTATCATTTAATCTTCGATGGTGGCAGAGGAGGCTATTTGATATTTAATGGTCCACATAGGTTTTACAAATAGATGCGCTAATTTTAGCCAAAATAGGTCAAGAATTCAATTCTTAATTTAATTCTTTTTTTAAGATCTAGATATTTATTATCTCCGTACATAATTGTTTACATGAGTTAAATAATAAAGTTTTACAACAAACTCGTTTACAATTACTTGAGAGAGTTATATAAGAGTTAATTTACGGATACATTTTTAATAAAAATTTGGAATCAAGGCTACTTTGATTATGCAAAACATTAAAATTGAGAAGTGTACCAATGAAATGGTAGAACATTAAATGCATATAATAAGTTATTGGCGAGAAAAGGGTATGCGGATTGAATAGAAATTTTTTTGTAACAGAATCGTTTACATATAATTTGAGCAATATATGTTGAAATCAGTTTGCGTGGACACTTTACACTTTTTATGAACCTTGATATAGAGAAATGAACCTTGATATAGAGAAAGAATCTTGATATAGAGAATGAACCTTGATATAGAGAAATGAACCTTGATATGGAGAATGAACCTTGATATAGAGAATGAACCTTGATATAGAGATGAAACTTGATAAAGAGAATGAACCATGATATATAGAAATGAACCTTGATATAGAGAAGAACCTTGATATAATTTAATTCTACTCCTAGGACCTCGATGGACTCAACTGTTGAATCGGCGGCTGCAAAACTGGGGAGGGATTCCACATCATCGCGGAATGATTGCTGAAAACATTCCTCCCTGGCTCCAGTGTTATGTTGATAGGTAGGGAGAGGTGCAGTGTCTTGACGTTGATTTTAAATCTGATTTACTATTTTAGAATAAGTTATAAGTGATTTTTTCGTTATTTTCATTTTGTAGTTAAATGGTATAATTAAATATTAGAAATCTGTGCCTGTTTCATGGCAATATTTTTAGTTTTTACAGACCAATTTTTAACATTAATGACATTTATATGTTTAGAGTTAATAATTTGAATATTTTTGGAGGGAAGAAAGCAAACCATGTTCTTCTCAACGAGTACACATCAGGAAAGCAGAAAATTACTTTCATAAAAAGTTAAAAAGATCGACAATCAATTATTTTATTTTCTTAAATACATTTAATTGGAAAGGTTTGTTTTAATTTTCAAATTATTAATTTTGATATTTTGCAAATCTCTGAAAAAAACAAACAAACAATATTTTCGGAGTTTACAGGACAAGGAATAATGCCACATCTCGATGGATCTCTCTTCTCTCCAACAATATCAACAATTTCCCTGGGTTCCCATACTGTCATTAACTTTTACGATCAGGGAAACTATTAACATAAAACAAATAAATTGGCATTGGTTTGATTTCGTAGATTATGTGATGCAGACACCAATTCCATCACCGAGTCTGCTTTTATTTACGTAAAAGATTGGACAAATTTTCAGCAAAAACTAATTTTTTCTAAGAAGTTAATTTTTTTAAGGAATTGTGAATTTGTAACAATTCAATGCTTGTTGGTTTCAGAAATAAATTTTAGATTTAAAGGGACTGTAAGTGTATTTTTAAGTGCCCTTCAATTGAAAGAGGGACATCCGGATTCAACCTTTGACTGATGATCATATGTCTCATATATGTTGTGTAAAACGCGGTAAATTTTAGTGTACGCTAGTCCAAAGCGGTTTACAAAAATTCGAATCTGAATATTTATATTCTAAGTAAATATTAATTTTCCTTTAAACAAAGTGTTTAACACTTCAAGCTTTTCTGTAGATAAAGAAGGATTTAAGTCTGTCATCCTTCATCAGTCTTAAGGTTTAAAGGGTACCGTTGTAAATCGAAAATGCCCCTCTTTAAATGGAAAGTCACTTAAATTACGCTTTTTTAATGGGCCGGGTGGTTTTTTTTGTAAAATATTTATTCCTAAAATTCAAATAGAATAATTTGAAATTGAAATAACATTATTTATTTAACTCAATATAGTTTATTTCTTATCTAAAGTTTAAACTTCCCGTGTTAAAATTAAAAACGAACCATTCAGAATTTAATTTTTCATTACATTCAAATTCGATTCATTTTAAAGAAAAATAAAGCCTGCTGGTTAAAGTTAGAATTTTTTTAGAATTTTTTAAGTTTCAAAAATTTTCATAATTTATTATTAAACTTTAAAGTTTAAAGGATAACGGAGAGAATGGTTTAATGAATCCTTTAGAAAAAAGGTTGATTTTATCTTTATACCTGGAACCCAGAAGTCTACTAGTTCTTCAGGTGTGTTTAACAAAGACAAAACATTTTCCCTACAGCTTTATTATTTCTATGGTGATATTTTTAAACCTGTCAAAAGAGCAAATGCTATTTCCAGTATTTGTAAAATTAAGGAGTTTAGAATTCGAAGAATAATTTAATGGATTACTCAGAATTTGTTTGTTCATTTCATAGAAACTTAATTACTGGTTCGTACAATAAACTTCATGAAAACATCATACATTCTTCACTCAATCTTTGACTCATCTCATGTTTTCTATCTGATCTTAAAACAACTTGGATTATTTAGTTTTACCCAAATCATTCATAGTAACGCCATAAGTCCCACTATCATCAGAATGAAACATCTTCATTTTTTATTTATTTTTAGGAGGATATGTACAACAACTACATGCACGGTATCGAAGAAAAAACAAAGGTAATGCATGAAATGTCTGTAGGAGAAGAAATTGTAACAACAAGTGTCTTAAATTCTGAATGTTTCAAATTAACTTTTTTCGCAAAAAAATCTACTTCTGAGTGACTTCTCCTGACTTTTGTGATTATGTTTGAAATTAGTTTTATTTTTGGCCTCATTTTACTCAATATTTCTGTTATGTGATGGACACATACTTTACCTAAGTTTTCCCCTGTCCCTTTGGATAAGAATATAAACAAATTATGGAGATTTTGTGATTCATCAAAATGTTTATTATTTTACCCAGAAAGTTACTGTTTAAGAAATAAAAAAAAAACACAAATCGTCATAATTACAGTGTTTTATTTTTCTATTTTGTTTAAGGACGAATATAAGGAGTATGCCAACTTTCCATCTCAACTCTTTGAAGGGGTCCTGGAGAGAGAAACCAGATATTCTCTTACCATCCGACATGTTCCCAAAACAACGAAACTCAAAATTAAGTTTGGGAAGTAGGCTGAGGGAAATCGATGAAACGAGAAACAGAAATGGTAGTAAACGAACCATTAAAAGCATTTTGTAAATAACCACAATGTATTACTGGCCGGGTACCAACAAATTTCATTCTGTGATCTTTAAAAAATTATTGTAATAACTGCATTTAATTTGCCTTTTTTTCAGATGGTTAAACCGAAACGAAAGTTACCAGATTGGATGCTACAGGTTGGCTAATTTGAAAAGAGTTATCAGAATTTAACTTTATTTTTCTTGTTCTAGGGACCTAAAATGCAATCAAAACCCGTGACAAGTGAGAAAATTACTAAGTATTTTAGTCCAACGAAGAAAAATTCAGCCTCCCCAAACATCACAGATACTCAAAAAGGTTGTTAACAAAGTTTAAACAATAATTAATTGAAATTTAAACAGATCTAAACTTTTCAGGTTTTGAATATATCCTTAGTCCGGCAGAACTTGCAGAAGTAGCTAATATCTACCTGCTATCGAAAAGAGAACCATCAAAATAGAGTTACTTTATACATTTCTAGAGATAACATTCCTGAATAGACTTGCAATATTTGTGCATAAACAATATACTGCATCGGACAAATAAACGTAGTTAGAATGAGTGAAACTCTACCGGCAGCAACTAAACCTCTATTGGTACATATAGACATGAAGGGCGGACCACCTACTCCAAGATACCTTATTCAGCTTCTCAGTCTCTTCAAAACATGGGGCGCTTCGGGTATTCTTATTGAATGGGAGGATATGTTTCCATGGGATGGAGAACTTCAGGTTAACAAAATTATTGAGAACCCCTCATAGGGATTTTATTTCGTTCTTTATTTATTGCAAAGCCCTTCATTTTAATTGTTTGTCCTGTATTGTTGGCATCTTTTATTTCATTTTTCTTTTTCGTTAACTAGAAAACTTTCAGGTACTTGCACGTGAAGGTCATTACAGCCGAGAAGAAGTACTTCTTTTGTTGCAGGCAGCAATTGATCTTGAACTAGAAGTGGTGCCTCTAGGGAATTCTTAACTGATAACCTGATTTTTGGAATACCTGCAATTTGTACAAACATCATACTGCCTTATTTAACATAAACTTTTCCAAATAAATATCAAGTTTGTACATTTTTGGATTGATCGACCATTTTCCTTAATCTGGGCCCAGATATCACGAATAGTTGAATGAGATGGTTATAACGAACCCGTGGAGGGAACCATTAACATTTTGTAATTAACACAACAGTGTCGTTAACATTTTCAGCGAGGTTTATAGTTTCATGAAAATAGTTCACTTTTTTTTGGAGTGGGTTATTTTTGGTGCGAAAAGTTTCGAAAGCGTAATCTAACCTTTAAGCCTAGATTTAATTCAATCAGTCTTGACTTACAGTGCAAACATTTGGGCATCTTGAGTTTGTATTGAAGCATCCTGAGTTTTCACAGCTCCGAGAGATACCTCTTTTCCCCAACTCCCTGAGACCTGTAGATCCAGACACAGAACCAGGACAAGTAAGATCAAAATGTTTGTTGATTTATTTGGTGTACAGTGACAAAATGGTTATTTACGTAAACTTCATTTTGTACTTTCTCTTAATAATAAATGCTCCTACCAATTTTTTAATTTGAAAATGTTATCACCGATCACAGTGGGGTTTTAATTAAAGAAAACATCGAATATGAACATTACTCCGCTATAACTTGTCTTATCAATGCCCAATATTTTAATTGAGAATTGTCGATACATTGTTCTGTATTTAACCATGTTTAGTATATTTTTAATAAAAAGAGATTTAACGCGTTCTAAATAAATATGAAGGAACTGAAAATTAAGGGTTTTTATATAAATTTAGATGAATTTTAGGGTGAAATTATTAATAAAGATTAAACAAGCTTTCAGATGAAAGCTCCATTTGTATCCAATGGCTATATTTAAAATAATCTGCTCCTGCTTTTAGAGCTCTGGTTTTCTTCTGGTTTGTGAGATGGTTCGACAGATAATAAATTTACATCATCCACAGAAAATACACATTGGATGTGACGAGGTAACTCAGTTAAAGGGATTGTAAGCGTCTTTTCTAGTCACCCTCCATTTACAACAGTCCCTTTAAACCTTTGACTTGTCAAGGATGTCGGACTTACCATTCTATATCTACAAATACGCTTAAAGTTGTTAAACACTTGATTTGCATGCTGTTTGATATTTAAAAATTATTAATATTAACTTTATAGAAGACACAGAAAATAAGTAGTTACGTTCCATTTTTTTAAACCGCTTTGGGCATCGAATGATGATCGGTATTAATTCAAATTAAGTAAAGATTATTTAGGTCTGGTATCTAGGAAAAGGTCCTATTACATCTGTTTATTTGGAAAATAAAGGTGTCTCCGTAACACAGCTGTTCCTTCAACATCTTCGCAGTGTGGCTAAGTTTGCTTCATCAGAAGCCCCTCAACCAAAGGTAAGGGTGCTGAGAGCAGAGGTGTTTACAGGGGGGGGGACTTGAATTTCATTAAAGGTTACTTCCACCCCACTCCTGACAAATACCTGTTAGTTTTTATTTTTTATTTCTAATGTCCTTTGTTTTTTTGTTAAAACAAACAAAATGATATTGCTTAAACTGAATTAATGGAAGATTTACATTGAAAAATTATATATTTTTAAGAGAAAATATGTAAGTAAACCCAACCTAAAAATGGAGTGACCTTTATGGTGGAAATTCGTATTAATTTCAAGAGAATTTATCTAAAATTGACCTTAAAGTATTTCCGAATTCAGAACTATGGTTTTAATAAGGTTCTGGTTTGGGATGACATGATGAGAACTGCTGATGTGGATGACCTAATGATTCTCCAAGGCCTGGTTGAGCCAGTAGTCTGGAATTACGGCGAGAACTTGCAGTTTTCCCCAGGCATGTTTCAGAGATATTCGGCTGTTTTTGGAAGCTCGGTATGTGAACAAAACCCTTCTCAAAAATTTAAAAAGAATTTTTTATAATCCTATCTAAAATTACCACTTGTTAGATCTGGGGTGGTTCTGCCTGGAGAGGGGCTTCAGGATCATGTTCTCATTCAACCCCAATCAGGTAATTAAATCAATTTAATGAAAATGTTTGTTTTTAATGAGTAATTGTGCAAGTTTTCCAATACGATTTTGTGCTGTTTTATCTCTAAAACTATGTCTATCGACTCTTAAAACTATATAATTAAGGTATCTTTAAACTATATAATTAAGGTATCATATAGCAAACCATCTGGCTTGGTTAACTGTTGAAGAAATCAAAGCGGGTCTAATACTGACTGGATGGGCTAGATATGACCACTTTGCGACCCATTGCGAGCTTCTACCAGTCAGTCTTCCTAGGCAAGTTCACAATGAATGACGATTTAAAAGATTTTGAATGACCGCCATTTTCGAAAATAAAATTACTAAGCTTGTGTTGCCAAAGGCTTTCGCATCTGTACCATTTCACTAGAAATCAGAGAATTGAAAATTATTCATTTTTACTATTGTCCAGTCTTTGTTGTTGCCTTGCTGTTATGAAAAATGGTGGTTGGACATCAGAAATTCATTCAATGTGCTCCAAACAGCTCATGCTGAAGGATCAACTAAACATAGAGCACACAATATCAGCTGAAGGTATTAAATATGATTGTATTGTTTATTAACATCATGAGAAAAAAAATTGATAAATGTCTCTCAATGAATCGCCAGGAACTAAATTATATCAACCTAGTACCAATCTGCTCTGCGGGGAAGGCAGGTGGCCATAAGCCACAACATTTTCCCCTTCCATGAAATTTCAAATAGATCGGAGCCAATGTGAGTTCGCATGCAAAAAATCAGCGTCCTACGACAATGCTAAGTTATGTTTGATCATTGTTTAATTTTTACGGAGAGTAAAACGACTTATGACCCCCCCTTTAGTGCATTGAAATTGCTATTTTCAAAAATCCAGCCGCATTACGCGAAATATATACCTTTAAGAAATTTTGAAAGTTTGTGAAAGATCAATAAATTGTGTGTTCAGTTAATAAACTGATTTACATTTTACAAAGAAAATTTTACATCATCTTACGCATTGTGGGTACCGAGAGAAATTGTTTGTGATAGTCTAAAGAATAAGAAAAGATTTTAAAAATCACAAAATTAATAGTCATTACTTTAGCGTTATAGATTTTCAACCCAAAAAATCTGTTATGCGATTTTCTTGTTAAATATTGCAAATTTTAGGTTATTCTTTATGGTGCATCATTTTTATTGTTCATAATATTTTAAAAGGAATAATTGAATTTATTTTTAAAATTAAATATCTTTAAAATTTGCACGAAAATAATTCAAATGTGCAGATACTTCAAACTTTGAATTATTTTGGTGAAATATTCTAAGTTTGAAATATCAAATGTTTACACCACTCGGTGCAAAGATTTAGGGATTAGAATATTTGAGTTTGTGGCAAAAACTTAGTTCCAAATCTAGAGAACATTGTGGCAAACTTCTATCTGATTATCATATTTGATAACCTGTTTACCTTCTTTAAACGAACTTCTATAAAATCGAAAATGAAATAAGATTATGAATGTTGGTTAGAATGATCAATCATAAATTAAATAACTTCAGGAGAAAACGTAACATTATCTGTCCTTTTTCAATGTAGACGATTAAAATTATATATTTATTTTGATGTATTTTTTTCAAAATATATAATTGATTATTTCTTGTAATTATATCTGTAATTTAACAAGGCACACATTTTCTTTGGCGCTCCGCGCACACATGAAAAGAATTGATTGACTCATATCGTTTATTTTACAGCTGTTGAAAGTATAAATGTTTTTTAAAACACAAGAAAAGAAAAAGATTTGAATTGAACACATGCAACAACTGAAAATTTCCTTTTTTTCGTCGTCAAACTCTTAAAAAGGAACTTTTATTTTGAACAAATTTTCTGTAAATTAACAGCTTTTTTATTTGTTTGTAAACTATAATTTTGAAAAAGCTTTTTAGAAATCAAAAGTTTAATAGAAAAGTCGTCTTCATTGTATTGATACAAATTCCGAATACTGTAGTTGTATTTGAAATTAGGCACAGAGGAGCCTGTATTTACTGGATCTCGAATATATTCCCTCATCTTTTCTTACCTGAGGTCAGTCTATTTTACATGTTTTGATTACATTCTTGAAGTAGCAATATTAAACATACTTAATTCTATTAATTTCTATTTGAACATCTTAATTTATTCACACCACTTCCCAACAAATATAGATTTACATTTCTGGACCTAATTAATACTTCAAAATATTTACCAGGATTTTATCCAATTATGAAACAATTTTCAATGGTACCACACAGCGCACATGGATGAATCCGTGGCAGATTAAACAAGGTTTTTTAAATCCAATTCAGGTATTTAAATTAAACTTAGTTTTTAAGAATTTCCTTGATTCGTCTCTTCCTTTGCAATTTATTTTACTGTAAACAATGTGTGTTAGAAAACAATTTTTTCAAGCATAATACTCAAAATTTAAGTGTTAAGTCAGAGAATTTAACACATTTTCCTTTAAAAAGTTTTAAAACGTCCAATACTGAAGGAGTATTTTTGCGCTTCTGAAGAAAAATTTATTTAATGAAAGGAAAAACTTACTCTGATGATGCTAAATTTTTTATTATTTAAACAAAGGTTCGAGGATTTTTGCTAGAACTGAAGAAATTGCAGTTTTCCTTCAGGTGATATAGTAAGATTATGTAGAAAATTATAATTGCTATTGTAATAATGCTTATTGTATTCCATTACATGCCAGATGTAAATCCTAGGGAGTTTCGAGATCCGTCAATTGCATCCATGGTTGTAGGGCTTATGCAAATATTTTACTCTAGATCCCCGTACTTTTGTTTTAGTATCGCTCCCTTTAATAACCTCTTGTACATAACTCTCAGAGTATCAATGAATTGGGAGTGATCAGTTTCATAGTTTATTTACTTAACACATCTGTAACGTTCGTTCATGATTAATAAGTTTCTTTAAATATTCAACTGCTACAGTTCAGGATCTGTCCGAGTAGCTTCTTCTATTACTCAGTGTTATCCTCGTTATTATCATCATTGTTATCATTATTGTTGTCATAATTGTTATCAACATGGTTATCATCATTGTTGTCATCATTAGATCTTTAAAGAGCTTTTACACAAGGAGTGGCGTCTCCGTTCTTAGAATCTATGGTTCCGCTAGTGGTTCCATAACAGGTTTGTGAAGAGCTGTTCCACAATGAGTGGCGTCTCCGTTCTCAGAATCCTCTGGTTCCGCTAGTGTTTCCACAACAGGTCTATGAAGAGCTGTTCCACATTAAGTGGCGTCTCCGTTCTCATAATCTATCTAGGCAGCTTCAACAACTCTATAAGTTCTTTAGCTGCTCCAGTTCAGTATTTATCTAGGTAGCTTCTAGAAGCTACAGAATATGAATTCCTTGATGAGATCTACAGATGAGTATGGTGGAATCTCTTGATGAGATCTACAGATGAGTATGGTGGAATCTCTTGATGAGATCTACAGATGAGTATGGTTGAATCTCTTGATGAGATCTACAGATGAGTATGGTTGAATCTCTTGATGAGATTTACAGATGAGTATGGTGGAATCTCTTGATGAGATCTACATATGAGTATGGTGGAATCTCTTGATGAAATCTACAGAGGAGTATGGTGGAATCTCTTGATGAGATTTACAGATGAGTATGGTGGAATCTCTTAATGAGATCTACATATGAGTATGGTGGAATCTCTTGATTTCTCAATCGTGTCCAGAGGACGACGGATTCCGTCCTATTGGTCTATATTAGGTATTCTGACTGCTCCATATATTGGGTGTCTCCATTGAGAGAAGATGGAGCTCCTACATGTCCTAGTTCCCATGTGTCCTGGATATTCTATAGATCCTGGCTGCTCTGTATCTGAGTGTCCCTATTACATGAACCATCTCGAGAATCTAGAGCTTCATCTGGCTGCTTCATATCTTTGGTATCTCGATTGAGAGAAGATGGAGCTTCTGCATGTTCTTGAGATTTTGGCTGTTCTGTGTTGGAGTGTACCTTTTACATGAACCATCTAAAGAATCTCGAGTTTCATCTGGCTGCTCCATATCTTGGGTGTCTCCATCGAGAGAAGATGGAGCTTCTGCATGTCCTGGAGATACTGGCTCCTCTGTGTTTCGAGTGTTCTTATTACATGAACCATCTCGAGAATCTAGAGCTTCATCTGTTACATCCTGATCCGTAGTTGGACTAGCCGGAGCTGTTATAATTTGTGGGTAGACCCGACTGGACGGTACGAGTATAATTGGTTCAGTTCCAGAAACCAAAGGAGATGAAGTCTAAAGATACGTATTTATGTATAATGATGGGGAAGATTCCTCTATCTTTTTTAGCTGTCTGTTGACTGTCTGTTTTAGCTGTTTATAAAGAAGTACAAGTCACCAGGCCTTCAGTGGTATAAACTAGAGCTATGGCTCTAACGTCTATCCTGTATAAGATCCTGGAATGTACTACCTTAATACATTAAATATTACATTATTTGACATTCGATTGTTTTGAAAACAACTTTCTTTTTGTTTCAAGTTTTGTCTATATTCTTTTATAAAAATTCCTTTTAAAAAAAAATAAATTGTTGAAAAAAAGTATAATAACAATAATAATAAAAATAATAAAATTGAAAAAAGTTAAAAGTATCAATTTTATTAATAATATTGGCAATATTTATCAATTCATGTAATCAGGAGATTTATGTAAACTTTAGTGTTTGTTATTCGTTTTCTAAATCTAAATGAAGAAATTATGCTCCTGATTTCTTTAGAACGATATCTGAATGAATTTGATAAAAAATACGGGGGACGAATGTTCCAAACTTTTTGTTTGGTCCAATTTCAAGATATGTTTTCAATAGTATTGAAATTTTAAATATATAAATATAAGTATGCGGGCTGGGTTTTTTTCTGCTTAACTTGAACAAAAATATATTTAACAGTTTAAAACCTCACTAACCTGATATTTACCTGATTTTACCAGGTGCAAATCATAGATTCAAACTTTCCTCCTCTATTGGTCAATTGACTTTTTTATTTTGACAAAAGGTATTGAAAAAATTGCTAACAAAATTGCTTTTTTAGAGCTTTATCGGAAGCATTTAAGATTGATGTTCCTAATGTGCTTCATGCGTTTACATCAGAAGAATGGATAGGAAATGATTCTTAAATACCGTGTATTGCATATAAAGTTTTCTGCAGAAAAGAGGTCACAGTTCAAATAATCATATACACATTACACAATCACAGACAATATCAAGTATTTTCAAGTACTGTATTCTGCTTCTTAATCATTATTATAGGGGATATTAGTTCCAAAACTAACACTTGGCCCATTTCGCTGAGTGTTAGAAATGGGTCAAATCTGCAAAGTTGTCTTTTTCAAGAGACTATATCTTTAAACAAAACCATATATTTTTTTTAAATGGCTAAAACTATATATTGAAACAATAAATGTCAAATTTAAACTAATAAGGTATGAGAATTAGTTTTTGATGATTCTCGATTTCATTTTCGAACATATCCCTTTTTTGAAACAATTACCGGATTTCAGCTCATTTCGCGTTTTCGGAACATATCCTGGTTTTGAGACAATCACCGGAATTCATATCAATGTCAATTTTCAAGTATTTACGCACTTATGAAACAAAACAAGATTTTTGATAAGGTTAAATATAAACAAAATAGAAAATAAAAACAAACTGTCCTTTAATAATTTGAAAATCATTACAGCATTTAGAAATCAAAATATTAATATCATTTGTTCTTCCTAACATTGTCTTGAAAACGGTCAAGAGCTTTAATATAAAAAGAACTCCTCTTATAATTTTGATATAACAAAAGTTTTAAATTGGGAATTGTTGTCTTCATCATGTTTAATAAATGATGTCTATAGTTTTTATTATCGACTTTTACTCTGGATATGGGCCGGGAACCAAAAAACCCAGTCTTTCAGTTTGTGCCCATTTCTAACAGTCAGTGTAAGTAATGGGCCAAGTGTTAGTTATGGAACTAATGTCCTCTGTACAAGTGTTAGTTTTGGAACTAATGTCCTCTGTACAAGTGTTAGTTTTGGAACTAATGTCCCCTGTATGTTTAATCTGTATTTCATAGTGAACGAATGAATAAATATATTAGTCATGGGATGGGATGAATTATCATATATCCAATAAAGCCTTAAAAATACATAAAAGTGGGTTTCATTAGTTTTTTTATTTGGGGGGGGGGGGAGGTTGCGGGGTTTTATTGCCATCTCTGTTTTAGATAGATGAGTATTTGGGAATGTGAAAACCACCAAAATGTGGTTGAGTCATGCATGGCAAAGTACAGTTTTTAAATGAATTATCATTTAAATTTAACAATAGTTTGTTTTCTGTATAGTAAACAGTATTTTTTTCCTGATTAAGAGTTACAGGAGTTACAGGTTTATTAAGAATCATGCTTGTACACCAGGAACCAATATTGATCCAAAGTTGGACGAAATAGCTACAGTACTTAATTCCTTACGAGAACTTCCATGTCTGCAAGGACTGCAGGAGATGATGAAATAGAAAATTTAAGTGATATCATCAAATATTAGTGATATTTACATTTTGTAGATTTCATGAAAATCTGATTTCACGAAAGTTTAAAATTATTTTTTTTCAGATGATATTTTGAGCTTGAAGTTTCTGTAAAAATGTCAAAATATCAGTGGCTAGGCGGGGTCGGAGCCATCGCACTATTGAGCTTTGGAATCCTACTTTTTAGTACAGATAGTCAGGTGATAAAACGTATCTTAACTAGTCAATCCTTGCAGAAATACTAAGGCTTATAAAAAACTTGCTGTTCAAAGATTGTTCTGAAAGTAAAGAACATCGACGATTTTTCATGATTGGATTAATGCTTCTAAAATTTTAATGCGGTTTTTCAATGTTAAAAAGAGCAAACGTCTAGATATATAAGTTATAAAGTGTACAGTAAATGGCCAACAGAGCAGATGTCGAAATGTTTCAGCTCAAAATGTTTTCACTTTTATTTTCATGAACTACGTTTAGAATGATAATTTAAAGTTAGGACGTTTTTGAAGTCAGGTCATAATTGAAATAACTAGATTTATTGGACAACAATTATTTCCAAATGAATTCAGGTGTTCAATTTTATATACCGCAGCCAGCTGGTCCTATCTCCCAATTCAACCTCTTTCCCCATGTGGCGAGATATACCCGCTCTTGCAGCCAACATTTACCTGTTTAATGTTACCAACCCAGACCAGGTATACTTTGCTTATGATGTACCTACTTACATACATAGTAAATACAAAGTACATACATTGTACATATGTGTGGTATAGCTGTGGAAACTTAAGCGGGCGTCGGTGATTAGGTGATTTGTTGATTGATGGTTGCTGGCTCCTCATTTCAAACCTGAAAAATACAGTTATAGTGAAAATGAATATAGGTATAAAATTGTTTGCTGTTTAAAAAAAAAATATTGGTGTGACATTGTTTTACTGTTTAATAGATTAAATGTTGGTGTAACATTTTTTTAATGTTTAATAAAATAAATATTGGTGTAACATTGTTTTGCTGTTTAATAAAATAAATATTGGTGTGACATTGTTTTACTCCTGATTTGATTGATTTGATAGGTCAGTTTGAAACATTTCTGAAAATAAGAAAACCCAGCTTTTAAAATTGCTATGGATTGCAGAGTTTTTGACGGATTTAAGTATTATTCAGTTAAAACGTTTCACTTATTCAATTTTTCCTTTGTCGGGGTACTGAGGTAGTGTCGGAGAAAATGTATGATTTGGTTTGCTCCGAGATAGGACATAAAGGTTCATGGGCAACAATAATACATACAAAGTACATACATTTAGTATATACATAGTATGTACATCATTCATATTAAATTCATGGTACATCTATAGTACATACATACTACATTCGTTGTACATACACATTATAGGTTTGCACATAATTTCCCAGAAAAAGCATGAACACAGAACAATTGTTAATATAATTGTAATCTCTCATATCAATCATAAGATTTGCCTGCTTTCTAGGTAACAAATGAGGGTGCTGTGCCAATCGTCTCTGAAGTTGGACCATTTGTATTCATGGAAAGTCATCACAAGACGAAGCTGGTGTGGAATGCAAACAATACAATCACATACCAACAGATTAGGTATTAACTCATTATTATTTGACCGTTTTAGAGAACCTTGACAGGGAGCTAATATTTTACGCGGCTTTATTTTTTTTAGGATTTTTTTTTTGTAAACTTTTAGCTTTAAACGTTACGAACTACTAGTTGCTACATTTTTAGGTAGGACTGTTTATTTCAGTTATTTATCACTGTAGAGGCTTTTTATCTTTCAACCACTTCACACAACTTTCAATATGTTTACATTCTGGTATGAAATATTATAAAGCTCTTTCTCAGTTGCATAATTGTTTTCCTAGGAATTGGAAGCATGTACCAGAGCTGACAAATGGAAGCCTTTCCGATTATATAACCATAGTAAATCCCATAGCAGCCAGTATAGCAGACCTTCTCAGGAATAATATTGAGCATTTATTAAATTTTTAACCCTGTTTAAGATAAGTGTGAGCATTTTTCTTATTTTACAGGAGGATAATTCGTGTTTTTATTCTGTCCCGTTTGTGCAGTAAGAACCTCATAGCGTCAACACTATTTTCTCATTACCTACGCTGCAAATTAAGCCTTAAAATCAAAGGATAAAACTACAAATGAGAACATTTCAAATTTTAAGAATACCAAATATTTGAAAGCCGTCAGGGGATTCCATATTAAAGGGTCTTTCAAAGATATTTATAATTAAATCAAAATTAGATGCAAAATCGACCAATACAAATACAAGATATATAACAACAGTGTAATTAGGCGCAAGATTGAATTTAACAAGAATCAAATCTCAATTTTGTAACAGGGTGAGTGTTCCCAAATCTCTTCATTTGTTAGTGGACCTTTTCCTGAGAACGGAAAAGGAAAAAATATTCGTAACTCACACGGCAAACGAAATTATCTTCAAGGGATTCGATGACCCAATTCTTAAAGCGATGAATGATGCCAAATTCATAATTAAGAATTTTATACCGGATGGTGCTTTTATGGACAAGTTTGCGTTTTTTTATGCAAGGTAATTATTTTAACATATTCAACAAAGGACTGGGTTGGATAGTTTGATAATTTGATTTGTTCTAGTCAAGAAAAATTGTTAACAGCCGATAAGGTTTATGGCGGTTTGGGTTCTTCAACTAGGGGGCTTTCAGAACTCTTTCCAGATATTCCTGATAATAGAAATTTTCTTTATAGATTTCATAGACCCATAATCATACTGTGCAGTGTACAGTATGCAGTGTACAGTATGAATATGGGTCCATACTGACATTTCTGCAAAAAATCAAAGTCTAAAATAAAACCTAAATTGGATAATATAGACATCTGCAGCAATATTTTTATAGAAGTAATATAAATGAGGTAATTCTTTGTTAAGAAATGGATCTGACTGGATGGATGGTGTCTTCAACATGTACACTGGGGCTGGTGATACATCTAAAATGGGAAAAGTTCACTCATGGAATTATTCAACCCAAAACTTCTTTCCTGGAACCTGTGGAAAAGTCAAAGGGGGAGCAGGAGAGTTTTTTCCTCCCGGACTAAACAAAACTTATATCGAATTGTACTCGAATGATCTATGTCGAACCCTAAGGTATCAAAGAAACAGTACTGCTGACTTTTATTAACCATGATTTATAATCCAAAAAATATTGTGTCTCTGAAAATGGTTCTGAGATTTTAAGCCTTTTGTTGATAATTTTCCTCGGTAAGCTTTTTCATCAAAATTCAGACAAGAGAGCCTTAAGAAACTGATTATTCACCACAAACTCTAATTTTTTATTGTTATATCTTTGCAATCTGACGTGTAAATTAAAATATTTAAGGTTTATGTCACAAGGTTGCAAAGACATATAGCTTAGCAAATCTGAGATTGTGGCAATTGTTCATTTTCTTAACAGACTGTTCACCAAAATGGAGGAAAGTGATTTTTGGGAAAGCAGGGTGGAGCTGATATTAAAGGAAAATCGGTGTTTTTCTTGGTTCTTCATGCATTTTAAAATGCTGGTTTTAAAAATGTTTTCAATTTCCTAATTTCAGGTTTGACTTTAACGTAACAAGTTCCCCTCGTGGTATTCCAACATACGAGTATACGGCTGGGAGAAATATGTTTGGTAATGGTAGCGTCAACCCTGACAACAAATGCTTCAATCCTGCAACTGTATCTCTTCCTTCAGGGGTATTTAACACTAGTATTTGCAGGTAGATTATAATTGCATATCTTAATAATATTATCCTCAATGTTGTTTTTGTTTCCATTATGATTATGATATTGTTATCATCATCATTACAAATATTATTATTATTTGCATTTATTCTTTGATAAAACTCTGTTCATAAAGTTTTAACTATACAAGTTTTTAACCAATTTAGGTTTGGAGCTCCTGTGTTTGTATCCCAACCCCACTTCTACCTGGCAGATCCCTACTACTCATCCTTGGTCCATGGTATGAGACCGAACCCTGAGAAACACACTACCAGTCTTAAGATAGAACCTCTATCTGGTGTACCTGTAGAAGTACTGGCAAAATTTCAACTAAACGTTCTGATAGACAAGGTGAATTTTTTGGAATTTATAATTATATTTCCTACTTTAAGACAAATGTTTCGTGTAGTTAGATGTGCTAAAACCAATCCATTACTAAACTTGATACTATCAAATCTAAACTGGATCTTGAAAGATTTCTCCCTGATACTTTGTATTTAATGATTAATAATGGATAATATCTAGGTACCTGATGTTGCCTTATTCAAGCATCTACCACGTTCCTTTGTTCCTGTTATGTGGGTTGAAAATGCTGCTGGAGTTCCTGATAATATGGTTTTTCAGATGAAGCTTTTCGCAATGCTCAAGGTAAAATATCCTGTCCTCGTTTCCTTGTATCTTCTTCTTTATAAGTATGTATTAGTTAAAACGTCATTTAAACACAATTTAGAACGTCCACAGCAGCGTTTCCTTCAATCTTGAAATTACAAAAAAATAGATAGATAAAATGCAGGGGCATTAGTTCCAATCAATTTTTAAAGGATAATTGTTAAATTATTACAATATTCTTTTTTTGATTAATTGTTTTCCAGGATATTCTCCAAGGAGTTGGTTGGGGAATGTTTGGTCTAGGAGTTGGTATCATGCTTATTCTCACCGTAAAATTTATCTCTAGGTAAAATAGTTTCTAACTACTTAAAAACTTGATATTTTGGAAACGAAAACAGCCGAAAGCCCATTTAGGACTTGAAACTTCATTCTATACTTACTTGTATACTTGGAGAGTAGTTGGTGTAGCCCCCGCTAGGGGCATTTAGCAACATCTTTTCCACACAGTCTTCTTCTGGTGATTCTGTCATATTCTCAGGATCAGTTCATCTCAGAAGAAGATAGATATTGATCTAGATTTCGTTTAAATATCTTGATATTTTGGGACTCTCTAATTGTGGTGGGTAACTGGTTCCAATCATCAATGACTCTTTGGGTAAAGAAATTTCTTCTGATGGTGGTGTTGGTTCTCTGTTTAGTCAGTCTGGTTCTGTCATCTGATTGTCTGGTGGTTCTCACAGATACTTGATTAACTCTATAGTTTGGAAGGTGTTGACAAATCCTCACATTTTTATACTCAAGTCTAGATTTGGGAAGTTTTACGTCTCAAAAAGTCTATTATTTTATTTGATTCTGAACTCGGTTTTCCTAACCTTATGTAGGTTGGGGGCCGGAAGGGGGGGGGGGATTAACCTTACGGCCTTAAACACTGTTTTAAAAATTATCAACGCTTTCATTTCTTGGTCACAAAAAAAAGCCTTTTTTATCTAATTTAGAAGAAAACAAGAGGAAGATGGAGGACCCCTAATCTCTGAAGGATTGGCAGAGGAATCAGATTCTGAGAATGTTTTTCATGAATAGAACTGACCATCATAATCTTGCAATATAAGCATTAAACTAATTAGATCAAATTTTATGAAAATATTAGTTGTCTTGTGCCATTTATAACCGGCATTATTTTTAATATTTACAATTTACATTCGTTGCATTATATAAACCTATATTCAATCTAATCCGCTTCAAACATAATCATTGTATTAAAAAAAAAAATACATAAAAAGAGCATTTTATTCTCAACTAAGTGAATGTATCATTCTATAAAAACATTTCAATTAATCTTGATCATATAAATACCTGGAATTTACTCAAGTATTCTTTAGTGTCACTAAATCCATTGTTACATAGTAGAAATCTATCAAGTACTTACAATCTTTATATTGAACTCGAACCGATATCAAAATATTAAAATATCCTTTAATACAATTAGTGAAAGACTTAGTAACTAAATATATTTTCATAAGTGCAGAAAAATTTCTATTATACATAACAATCGTGCCCTCATAACTTATATATACTTGCTTTTTGCTTAAAATATTGAGGTCCTTTTTACTGTAAACTTTCTCGATCTTATTCTAAAAATAATCCTAAATTTTATTTAAGTCCTATGAGGCATTTAATATTTAGTCTTAACATTATTTAAAATCAATTCTTTGACTTAAAAACTCTCATTCTTTTAAAGTAAAAATAAGGACCAACCTCTACGCATTATTATAAACAACGATTATTTTGATCTGTGGTGTTGGTAAACTATTGATATTTTTATTTTATTAAAACTAAATGAATGATTTTATAATGACTTCTAATTTTCAGGAAAAATGGGAATCCTTGACAAAATTAGGAACATGATTTAATTTAACCTTTTTGCTTTGATCTTTAATTAATTATGTGGAGTGGTAGGTCCTTGTCTTGGCCAAGTTTTCACATATGTTAATTTTTATATTATTTTTGCTTTGATCTTTAATTAATTATGTGGAGTGGTAGGTCCTTGTCTTGGCCAAGTTTTCACATATGTTAATTTTTATATTATATTTGCTTTGATCTTTAATTAATTATGTGGAGTGGTAGGTCCTTGTCTTGGCCAAGTTTTTATATATGTTAATTTTTATATTATGTTTGCTTTGATCTTTAATTAATTATGTGGATTGGTAACTGTTGGTACAAATCCTTCAGATCTTAAATGATCGCAGTATTTAATTTAGTGAAAAAAAATATTTACCTTCGGTATAAAAAATTGACCAGTGTTTAGTTGGATAGAAATTAAAAATATGTTTGCGTTTACAGTGACATCGAGAAGGAGATCAGTAAAACTCAGAAAAACAAGGCAACCGAATATCATCTGGGCACTCTCAAGGTAGAAGTACAATGTACAATGTACATTCAATATAATAAAATCATAAGAGTATGCATAAATACATGAAGTAACGGGCTTTATATGTTTGTTTTGTTAGTTATTAGTTTTGTTATTAATTACTAAACTTATAAATTGAAACAAAACCCAACGCTTCAAGAAGAAAATCAAAAATTACAATTGGTTTCGGAGAAGCGAAGGATTTTGAAAACGTTTTCTTCAGAATTTCTAATCTATGTAAAATATAACATTTTCAGGCTAAACTTGCCAAGTATAGAGCCCAGCTCTTAGAACCCACAGGTACCTTTATCTAGTAAATTGATAAATTGTCAGATGCTAGGATTTAAGAGCACTTCTCGCCCCTTTTCATATTAAGAATTTTAGCTTTTCACTGTTCCACAGTGGTCCAGAAAATTCCAAATAAGATCAAACTACTTTGAAAGTACTTAAGAACCTCTATTACTATAAACTATATTTTTTCAAATTTGAGGTCAAAATAAAATTTCGAGCGCGGGCAAATAAATATAGCGAAATTTAATGAAAAATGCATTTTAAATGTCTTTCCCAGGGTTTTTCGTGTTAATGATTTCATAATTGCGGTTAAAATTGTATTTGGATTAACGCTCGTTAAACACATGCGCACTAAAAGTGCTAATTTTAATGAAAAATGCGTATTTTTTGCCTTTTTTGGTGATTTGTAATGCAAGGTTTAGTAAAAAAATTGCAAAATAACTAATAAGATTGAAAATGTTAAAATGTTGCCATTTTGTGCTGCCGTACATTTTTTGGGGGGACAAAATTGTTCAACTTTGACGTTCCTTAAACCTTTCCTGGGGTCATGTAAGTTGCCATAAAAAAATGTGGTCCGATCGGGCTGACGTTTATTGAGTACAAGCAGACAAGCAAAGTATATATAAATAGAAGAAATATCTTTCCTTTCTTGACTTGTTACTACTTGATCAGGAAAGAAAGGTGAGAAGGGAGAAGGATTTGATGTATTGAAGTCGGGAGATGCCAGGGTTGCCATGATTGGGTTTCCTTCTGTGGGAAAGTCTACATTATTAAGCACCCTTACTAAAACAGAGTCTTCAGTTGCATCTTACGAGTTCACAACACTTACATGCATTCCAGGAGTCATTGAGTATAAGGTATGTAACAACAATAATCATTGTAAAAGACAGTATTAAACTACTTGATAAAACCTTTTACTTCGTTTGGAAGTTTGGAAGTATTTTATTATAAGAGCATAGCATAATTTCAATATTAGCGAGAAAAAAATTTCTATAGAAATTTCCATTTAGGGAGCAAATATCCAGTTACTTGATCTTCCCGGGATAATTGAGGGTGCATCACAGGGAAAAGGTCGTGGTCGGCAAGTTATTGCTGTGGCTAGAACAGCTGATCTCGTGCTAATGATTCTGGATGCTACAAAAAAAGATATTCATAAGGTTTGGATTTAATTACTGTGATTGTTTTTTTTTATGGGATCATGAGAGCCATCATTTATAATTACATTAAAAAATGTTATTTTCTTAATTAATTTTTTTTCCAAGGATCTTCTTGAGAAAGAGTTGGAGGCGGTCGGTATTCGTCTTAACCAACGAAGACCTGATATATATTTTAAACAGAAAAAAGGAGGAGGCATTGGATTTACAGCAACCTGCAACCTTACAAAAATGGATGAGAAAATGGTGAGTCT